GAAATTTATTGAACATTCGTAGAGGATGGACTTTTCCAACTTAAATCGACGACTAAAATGTTAATATATTCGCCACTGAGGAGCTGAAAATATTCTCCTGTGCGAGGAACAGAAGATTACACGACCTATCACGCTCTCCTCCTTTATATATCATTCGCGAAAATTACACGTAAAATATTATATCTCGCGTCGTATATTGTCCACATAAAATCTCACAGAACCTTCCACAGACATCCAGAAACCTCGTACGCGGTCACACGTCTACAAACGACTGTCTGCACACGACTTTGGATTAGGACAATAGCCCACAATTCGATTCACTACGATCGCTTAATTAGTTACGTTAAATGGCAGTTTGTTAAGGTGATCGACCAAACCGATCACCTGGTCTTAAATGTCTTGTGAAACCTGAGATACGTGAACCTAGACGCCGATCGATCAGCACAGATCACCGTGCTCCGTTTTCGTAGCAGTCTGACTTGTCAGAGGACATGTCTGACCGATGAAATGTCCATCAAACCGCGAAAAATCGCGGTGAATTTACGAAAACGAGCGTCGTTTTATTGATTCTTCTCATTTCTCGAGGTGACTGACAGAAATTGTCATCCAGTTGTAATTGTAAGACTCCTCGATCACAACGATTAACTCCTTGCACTCGAGAGATGACCCTCAGTCGCCATTTTTATTCGTACATGTAACTCGAATGAAGACTAAGAGACGAGGATAAACGGATCATCATTGCGAGAAATTATTAAATTATTAACGTTACGATAATACCAAAATAAGATTATTCCAAAGAATGTCGTCGACTTCGTTGCAGAAGCTGCTGCTTCTCCGAGTGCAAGGTGTCTGACGAAGACGATTTACGAAGAAATATGCGGTTTCGTACAACGATCCGTCATTTGGCAGTAAGGTTAAATCCTGTAGATCGAACTAAATCCGTGATGCAAGAAAATCGATTAGTTCGAGTCACGAAAGCGATTTCCCGATTCTCGGAGCCTTGCTACTTCTTTCAGACCTCGAGAAATGAATAACTGGGAACACGGATGGGAGTTAGTTTTTACTAACTAAGAAAACTTAGTTTTCTTGCGAATAAATTTTCTCTTGGATCGCGGCCGGAGATCCGAGAGCAAAGATTTCTCGATTACGCGCCTCATCATTGGGACATGTCTCGTTGGACATATCGTCGTTTCTATCGCGAGGTTCTTCGAGATTCCGTTTCAGGAGACCGCGCACAGCTGAGAGGATCGCTGGAGAGTGAAGGAGAATCCTAAGAGAAGATTTCGTGGATCGTCCTGAAGAAAATTGGTAAATTAGAGAAGACAAGAGAGAGTGAGAGGGAGAGGGAGAGGGAGAGTGAGTTTTCACGTACTCGTGGTACACGTGGGAAGCAGAGAATAAGTCTGAGGAACGACAACGTAGCTGGGTGCGTGGGACGTGAAACTTGGTCGCGAAATCATCGTTTCTTTCCTGCGTCGGTGGATAGGGTGTATTTTTGGCTCACGAAGATTACGTTCTGGCGTTTGCTTCCGCGATTCTCTCTCGCTGTTTTTAGCGTTTTCTCGTTGTTTAAAAAAAAAAAAAATGAGAACGAAAGAGAAGGAAAAGAAAAAAAAGAACGAAAAGAGCGATGATAGCGTGTGAAAGAGAAAGAAAGAGATAAAGAGAGAGAAACAACACAGAACAAGATAGAAATCAGTGTGGAATGTCTCGTATAATTACGTGCGAGAATAATAATTTACCAGGCGTTTAGAAAAGAAAGAAAAAACAAACAACTCCGCTACATTAATCCGTTTACGTTTATAAGACAATAAAAACTATGCTCGTCGTCATTCGTAATAGTAGTAATAGCAGCAATAATATAATAATGATCGTAATTATAATAATAATCATAACTCTTTCATCATCATCCTCATAATCATAGTCATCATCCTCATCATTATCATCATCATTGTCATCGTAGTATTATAATCAATCGCCGTAGCTCACAAATATGTATATCAATCTCATAGTCATCACCGTCATTTTAATCACTACATTTACTCTCTAGTTATCGCAAAAAAAAAAAGGTATGAAAATTACGTTCACACATTTCCTGTACTCCCTTTTCCTTTTCCTTCTCATTATAAAGCACGTGGGATTTCTCGATTCCCTCTCATACATACGTGTTCTAACTCGTTTATGTACTCGTTTATATATACACATATATATATATACGTACATACATATACACGAATATGTATGTATATATATATATATATATTTATATATCTATTTTTATATATCTACACATCGTCTTCCCTTGCCAACGAAACGATCGATACGGAATAAATTAGGCGCTAAATAAATAGAACGGATCACTACGATTTCTCGTTAGGTAGGTTCATCCATACTCGCTGCATTTCCATTCTTCCTTTTCTTTCCCTTCCTCATCGTCATCCTCCAGTGTTTATCCCTGTCACGCGTTCATTCGCAGAACGCACGACCTTCCAGCCGACGAATTAGTTCATAAAGATCGTTCACCATGTCTCGCGACATTCGTACGATGGCCCTTGCTGTCCATGGGGCCCCTTTTTCCCTCGCGTTCATGCCGATTGACTTTGTCACACGTCGGATAGAGCTTGTGCCGCGCGTCCCTCAGCAGAGGAAAGAGCTACGAGGAATAATAACGATAATCGATAGTACGGCAGAAATTTGAACAGTTCGCGCGAAGGGGTGTCTCTCCCTCTCCGTGTTCCTACTTCTCTGGTTTTTTTTTCTCTCTCCTTTTTATTCTCGTGCAGCCGAACAAGTGCACAGCTGCCATGCCGCCGTGTGTGTGTGTGTGTGTGTCGTTTAATAATAGGGTCGGTACCTAAAGCAGCCTGGCCGCGCTGTTCTAAATTACAGATATATTATATATAATATATATAACATATATATATTTTATATAATATACGTATATATTTCATATAATATATGAATATTTATAAAATTTGAATGAACGTTCTTGATCAAGCTATAGTGGTTTATTATCTTATTCTTCTGTTTCTCTCGCTCTCTCACTCTCTCTCTCCCTCTTTCAATCTTGTACACACGTTCCTGAACACATCTCTTTCCTTCCTCGCTTTTCCTCTCGCTCTTTCTCTCTTTCTCTCTCTCTCTCTATATATATATCGGTTTTAAGTTCGTCGTTATACTTCTATTATCTCGTGTAGTCGCTTTGTCCTTTTTTTTTTACTTTTTGTTTATTTGAATATATCATTTCGTTTGTCAACCGTCATTATCATCGTTAAACCGTCGTCCGCTTTCTTCCTCGTGCACGATTCTTCACACGTCTTCGTCCTTCCACGATAATTAATAATCCTTAATAATGCAAAAATACTAGTTAAATCCCTGTACATGAAAACCTTGATGTGGTATGTGTCTGTCTATTATGTACGTTTTGAATGTATCACCGCGCTCTGTACGTGTGTTCGTTCTGCGTGTGTATGCGTGTGCAGGTCTGCCGCCCATTGCCACTCGTTCTCGTTCTTTTTCTTGGTGGACTCAAAAAAGCGTTACTTTTATTTGTTTCTAAAGTTTCTTTTTACTTACAAGGTATTTGGTTTGCTCCATGCATCACTCTGACATGCAGTTTTTGTTTAGGTATATAAATTATGGTAATGATTCGGTATTATAATTATAATAATTATTATTATTAATATTAATATTATCATTGTGTTCGGTGTGTGTACCGCCGTTCATTTTTTTTTTTTTCTTTTTTATTTTCTTTCTTTCTTGCTGGTCACAAAATCAGTTACTCGATATCTCTCTCACACACCCGGTTTTATACGTTCTCTCTCATCCTCTCGTTCTCTTTCTCTCCCACTCTCTTTTCCCTTAGTATATATGTCTCATTCGCTATGCACATTCCACTCACGGTTTTTCCAGTGTTTTTCTCTTTTTTTTCCATTTTTTTTTCCCGTCAGAAAGAACAAAGAAAAAATGAAAACACGCGTCAACGTCGTTTTGTATCGCCCTTCGTACTTCGATGGCCTTCAACGCCGGTACAAATCATGGTAAAAAGGAATGATATTTTGCACTTTAATTAAAGGCTACTTCGTTTTGCTATCGCGTAACAAGCAGAAAGGAAAAACGGGTTGGGTTGGAAGGCAGTACTGCGAGGAATCACCTCGTTCCAATCGGAGGAAAAGAGAAAAAAATAAAAATAAAAAGAACATTCCCTAAAACTACGTTGCATGGCAGAAAAAGCGAAGAAGCTCCGCCAGCTCGAGGTTTCTTCTGTCGGGTCTTAAAAAGGAAGAATTTTCCCGAAAGAAAGTATCTATACTATTATCACATCGTATAAAAGTCACGCCAACTGCCGCCTGTAACTAGAAGGACATGATCTTCCCAAAGAACTTGATTAGAATTGGTCAATATAAAACGAACGTAAAGAGTAAAAAGGGAAAGAAGATGAAAGAAAAAAAAAACGGAAAAATGTTGAAAATGAGAATAAAGAGGGAATTTTCGAAACATCGGTCAAGCTTTACCTCTCCTTTCTGCCTCCAATCGAGCCCGATGAATCTAAAAACCAGCAAGGTGTTTATACACAACAACTTCCACTTTCCATCGTATATGTAGTAACACTATTTTACACGAGGTCTCGAGGAAAATTTCTACAAACAATAGCAAGAGGGGAAACAAGACAAGTCTAAGAGAACGTAGTAGATGTGGGTGAATGTCATGAAAAGAAAACGGTCTGAGGAAAGGGAGGAAGATAAAAAAGGAGGAACCTTATGAATTTAATGAATCTACGATAAATAATTCGCGAGAATGAGAAAAAAGAAAAAAGAAAAATATGAAGAGACGAAAGAAAGTAGTTAACTAGTTGGGGGAGGGAGAGGAT